CATCAACATCAGCATCACTCTCATCATCAGCAGCATCAGCATCATCAGCAGCACCATCACCATCACCATCATAAGCATCAGCTTCAACGTCATAAGCATCATCAGCAGCAGCATCATCAGCAGCAGCATCATCAGCAGCATCAGCAGCAGCATCATCATCAGCATCAGAAACATCAGCATCACCACCACCATCACTACCACCATCACCAGCATATTCATCAGCAGCATCATCGTCATCATCAGCATCATCATCATCGACAGCAGCAACAGCATCATCATGCCCGACGGTGGTATTTCCGAGGCCAGGTCGAGGTATGTTAGACAGCAAGAGGCAGCACCGTGGACGACGCTGGGGCCGGCAAGACAGATACTTCATCAACCGAAGTAGCGCTCTGGCGAACGGCCCCACGGCCGCGGCGAAGCCTTGCAGCAGCGACAGGGCGGGAGAGCGGGAGCTCGAGAGCCGAAGGCTATTGACAAGAGACAACGCATTCTGCATTCGGCCTCTCCCTTCCCCTCTAGAGGCATTCATCTTCAATGGGAAAGTCCATGCCCGACGATGGTTTGTCCGAGGCCAGGTCGGAATATGCTTGACAGCAAGAGGCAGCGCCGTGAACGACACTGGGGCCGGCAAGGGAGATACATCATCAACCGAATTAGTGCTCTGGCGGACGGCCCCACGGCCCAAAACACCCCGAACAATCCGGAGGGCTACTCCTCTGATGTTAGCTGCCTAGCCAGAGCGGTGTGACTGACAGCGCCTCGGAGTGCAGTCTGGCACCGACGAGCGCGCGAGCCCATCGTCTCGCGAGCGTCTTGGGATAGGCCTGCGCCACTAAAGTCCACAAAGGCCTTCCAGGAGCTCTTCCCAATAGAATCTGATGAGGCTGACCAGCCCTACTACAACAAGTGCGAGAGCCAGTGCATAAGCGAGCGAAAGCCGAGACATCAACGCGATAACCTAGGGGGCCAGTCGGCTTTTTCCGCGCTGTCCCATCTTGGCAAAAATTCGTGACAGCCCAGAAAAAATGAAGTTGCTTACGACAGCTTTGCAGAGACGGAATGAGCCACAGCCTAGACATCGCGGTATTCTCGACTGTAAAAGGGATCTGCAGACGCTTACAACTGGCCCAAACATGCTCACAACATCTCACTCGCTTATTGGCGGTCGTGATCTGAGCCCGGCCCACTGGGTGCGTCACAGCTGCAAGCCGCCAGAGCTCTGAGTCGGAGCGAAGACGGCTCGGCCAGGACGGAAGCCCGCCTGGCACGCGCAGCGGTCCGGTGTCTTGGACTCTGGACAATGCCTCACAGGGCGCGCCGAAATGCATGCCCCAGATCAGGCCGGCGTCCAACCAGCCACGCAGCACGCCAGAGACCTTCGGGTCGGTGAGGCCCCAGTTGGCGCCCCAGGCGATGTCCCATGTCCCTTTCGATGGCCAGGGCGCCCTCGCTTCGCAAGGCTGCCGCAAGCACGCCGTCGCCGGAGAAGACCTCCACGGAGACCGGCGGCGCCAGGAAGCGCCTGCTGCGGGGGCCCAGCAGCCTCCCCAGCGCCAGCCGAGGAGAGAGGCCAGCCGTGCTGGGGCCAGCAGGGCCGCGCGCTGCACCTCGGGCGCCAGCCTCTGCAGCTGCTCGTTGACAGCGCGCGACCGACGCGTCGGTCCGCCAGCGGCCGCGGAGCTTGACGCTGGCCAAGATCCGCAGCTGCAGTGCCAGCTCCACCGACGGGCCCGAGTGGCGCAGCTGCGGGGTGAGCGACGCCAGCCCCATGTCCTCCGCCGCCCCCTTGAACAGGGAACTGACGCGCACGAAGGGGAACGGGAACAGCGGCTCGCACGGGTGGGCCGCCGCTTTGAGCCAGCGGAGAGCGCTGGGTAGGAAGCTGTAGAAAGGCAAGTCGAAGGGGATCACCTCGTCGTAGACCTGAGTCTTGCTGGGAACTGCCAGCTCGCGAGGATGGGGCACCAGTGACCAGCCGTCGCACGCGCCCCCCGGCGCCGGGGGATCAGGTGGGCCCCCAGGGCCCGCAGCGCCTCCGACGGCCGCAGGTGGCCCGCGAAGATCACCAGCACGTAGAGGGCGACCCGCAGCTGGCCCCGATCGATCAGGCGAGTCGCGACGAGCGCCACGATCTCCCAGGGCAGCGGGAGCCTGGTTCGAGCCGGCACTCGCCTCCGCCTGCCTCGCAAGGCCTGCAGAGCCTTCGGCAGCCCCTGGCCCCCGCGCCCGAACTGCGGCATCATGAACTTCAGCGCCGCTAGCATGTAGGCCCCGCGCTCGGGGTTCCAGCCCTCGGCGCACTGCTGGCCCATCCGGTGCGTCAGCAGGTCGCCCGCCGTCTCGGTGCGGAGGGCCACGGTCACGGTCGTCATCCAGGCCGCGAACTCGGCCCAGAGGCGCGTGTGCCTGGCCCTCGTGGTCGCCGAGATCGAGAGGGCCCTCAGGACATGCCCCGCCGAGGAGCGAAGGGAGGCTGCCTCGGGCGCTCGCGCCGCGGCCCTCCCCGCGCGCCTGGCGGCCGCCTCCGCCGCCTTTGACGGGTGGCTGCGTCTCGCCAGGCGCTGGCCTCGCTGCGAGACCGTCGCCTGGCTGGGGCGCCCCGTTGCTGCCTGGCGCGGGGCCGTCGCCACGAGCGGCGCTGGCGTCAGCGCCCGCCTGTCCGCCCTCCCGCGCGGCGGCCAGACTGGCGACGGCATCCCAGCGCAGCCGCGCGCCGATCCTCAGCGCCCGGCGGGAGGGCAGGTCCGCCGGGTTCGCCTCCGACGGGATCCACCGCAGCGCCGCGGTGGCGCTTCCTGCCGCCACGAGGGCGGCCCACTGGCGGCAGATGCGCGCCATCCTCGGCCGCGAGGAGCGGCCCTTGGTCAGAGCCAGGACGGCGACGAGACTGTCTGAGAGGAAGAGAACGCGATGGCCATGCTGCCCGGCGTCCCGGAGGACGTGCTTCAAGGCGTGGACTAGGGCCCGCCCCATCCACGGCTGCGACGTGCTCCTCCCTCTCCCAGGCCTCGCTCGAGATGACAGCCCAGCCCCCTGAGATGTGATGCACTTCCAGAGGCTCGAAGTCGGTCTCCTGGGGCTCCGCGTGGGGGCTGCCTTTGTCCATGGGGGCGACGGGCTCCTGGATGTGCGACGGGGCGCTGCGCGGCTCGGAGTAGACGAGGGCCCCCTGGGGCTCGATGGGGCTCGAGGAGCTGCCCCCGGGGCGCCCTCGCACTGGGGTCTCGGAAGCGCCAGCGCTCCTGGATCCTGCCCCCATCCTCTCCACCACGTCGTTGCTCATTTCACGCTCGCATACCACTCGGCCCCACTCGGAGGCATCCGCACGCAGAACTCGGCCCAGCCAGCGGGCCCGGAGGTCGGCGTGGGCCAGCGGGGCAACCCCCGCGGCCCACGCCAGCTCTTGGCGCGCGCTGGGCCACCAAGGCCTAGGCCCTAGGCGCCTCGCCGGCCTTTGCGACGAAGCGGTGCACGGCCGAGAAAACGGCCAGCAGCGGGCGCCTCACCACGAAAAGGAAGGCGCGGCCCACGACCTGGCGCACCTGCTGGGCCGAGACCCTCGGCATGGCGAGGAGCGCGCGCGTGGCCAGGATGATCCCCCAGGCTCTCCGAGGCGAAGGCGCGACTGCACCCCGCGCGCCATCGATGACCCAGCCCAGCGCCTGAGCGCGGAGCGAGGCGGCCTCCTCCCCATGCGCCGGGAGGCCCTCGCTGCGCAGCTCGGCGACCATGTCATCCTTCAGGCGGTCGGCGGTGTCACCGTCGAGGGCGAGGGGGGCGAAGTTGCCGACGTGCGCGAAGTGCGCGCCGGCGCCCAGGCTAGGGCCGGCCCTCCGGTCCGCGATCCTGGACAGCACTGGCAGCCCTGCGCGGTCGGCGGCCGCCTCCGACACCCGCTGGCAGACGGCCGGCGCGTGGGGCCAGCCCATGGGCAGCACCGCGAGCCGCGGCCAGAGCCGCTGCGCGTGCGGCTGCCCGGGGGCGGACCCCCGCCCAAGCCTCCAGGAGTCCAGCGGAGGGGGCGCGAAGCACGGCCTCCAAGCGTCCGGAAACTGCACGTTGTAGAAGGCGCCCGCGATATCCGCCGAAGCGGCCCACAAGTTGGCGCCGTCCGGCAGCTCGATCGCCGCCAGCGCCGCGCCAGTGTCCAGGTGGGCGCCCTCGGGGTCGCCGAACCAGAAGTTGGCGGGGCGGGCATCCACGACCAGCCGCTGCTTCCCACTCTTCTTGGCCACGCTGAACAGGCCAAACTCGTCGACCACCAGGGCGGCGTCGCTGACGAGGTCGACCACCCCGGCCTTGTGGAGACGCCTTACCAGCGCTGCAGAGCGGCGAAGGTCTCGAAGGCAGGGGTCCGAGTTGGGCTTCTTGAAGCCAGCGCTCTGCTTCTGCTGCAAGACTTCGGAATTTGGCAAGACCTCGCACGAGTAAAGCGATAGACGGAGTCGAAAACCTCGGCCCCCAGCAGCCGCTCCAGCGCCGCGGGGCGGTTACTTGGAGGAGGTAGCGAGAGCCGGGAGACGCCCATCGCCCCCGCCCTGTTCGACAGCGAGCCGTCGTAGGAAAGAGCAGCCTGGAGCTCCTGCAGGGCTGCCAAAGGCTGTAGGTCGCCTGGCGGAGGACCCAGCTGGGAGACGGAGTCCGCGACCCGCGCCAGGCACTGCTGCTGCGCGAGCGTCGCGCCAGCCCGCGGCAGCGAGCCACCCCGCACCCCAGCACCGCTGATTGCGCCTCGACCGCCTGCCGCATGAGCCAGGGCGCGGGCGCCGCGCGCCGCGAGCGCCGCCGCTCGGCTCGGGAACAGCCGCCAGCTGCCAGCCCGCCAGGGTCGGCGGCGCCAAGCACCGGCAGCGGAAAGAGGTCCCGCTGCCGCTCCGCGCCCGAGCCGTCGAAAGTGCTATGCACACCCCCAGCTCCACTGGCGGTCGCCGAGATGGGCCCCGACGCCGTGGCGCCCGGGGGAGCTGGGCCACAGGGCCCCCCCGGGCATGAGAGAGTCATGCCTTGGCTCCGCCAGCTTTCGGCCTAGCGGCGGCCTTCGCCTCCTCCCGTAGCTTGCGGGCGTTCTTCTTGGTCAGACTGATGCGCTCGAGCTCCTTGCCGACCGCGCCAAGCAGGGCGGGGCGCGCCATGCTGCTTGGGCGACTCGACGGGCCCGTGCCGCCCACGAAAGCGGAGACCTCCTCCACCGGCAGCTTCAGCTGCCCCGCATCCTGCGCCCGTTGCTTCTCGTCCCAGAAGTGCTCGATCAGCTGCATCTTCCTCAGAAGACGCTCCGCGCCGAGGAGGTTCGTCAAGTTCACCTCGTCGTGCGTGGCGAGGTCCTCGAGCGCGGTGGAGAGCGCGTGGTGCTCCGAGACGCCCCAGTCCGAGGGGTTGAGCCTCTTGCGGGACTTCCAGCTCTCGTGGTGCTGGACGGGCCCGCCCTCCCGCAACAGCCACGCCACGCAGCAGCCCGCGGACCTCGGCTGCAAGGTCCGCCGACTCGGTCACTGCGAGCCAGCTCCGTGCCAGGCGAACGCCCGGCGTGCGCGCCAAAATCCTCGCGTCGGCCCCATTGCCGACGAAATCACCTCGCCGCCAGTCCTCCAGGAGGAACGCCATGGCGGAGGCACCTCCGACGAGAGTGATGGTCGCTCGTCGGCCCGCTCGCGCTGCCAAGATCGCGCCACCGATCGGGCCGACTTGCACCACCGAGCCGCAGGCGAGGCCGCCTGCATCCTCGGCGAGCACCCACGACCAGCCCGCTGGCGCCTCGCCGTTCGGCCCGAGGGGGGCGCCGCCGTCGTCCTTCCAGGAGGGTCAAAAGGCGCTCCGACGGCCGGGGGGGCGCCCGGCGCGATGGGCACGCCGGCCGCCGGGCCTGGCACCGCCGCGGCGAGCGGTCCGTCGGGCGCGGGCGGCCCGGTAGCGGCCAACGCGGCAGCGGCGACCCCGGCCGCGAGCGGCGCAGCGGCAGCCCCATCGGGAGGCGGCACGGGCCCGACGATGGCGGCTGGCGCGGCCGCGGGCGCCACGAACCCTGGCAGCAAGCCGCCCGCCATCGGCACCAGGGTGCCGCCAGGCGGCACGGGCACCCTTGGATGGCGGCGGCCGAACTCGGCGTCGGCCTCCGCGACGGCGGCCGCCAGCCAGGCCGCCTCGCGCGCCGCCGAAGGGACCTGGCGGAACCTGTGCGTCGCGCCAGGGTCGATCCCCGGCGGCCCGAGAACTGCACCGCCGAGATGTCGGGCCCGGCCGTCAGCAAGGTCCCGGCATAGACCATGTCATCTGGGGTCACGATGATCACGTCACTCGTGAGCGCCAGCTGGCCTGCTACCCTCCTCTGGTGGAACAGCGGCGCGCCGACCACGTTGTAGAGGACCCACGCCCACGCCTCCGACATGAGGCCCAGCGGCGAGCGTAGCGAGCGGCGGCTGTGTCCCTGACACGCTGGCGACCGTCGCGGGTCGGCCGCGGCCCTCTGCAGCACCCCAGCGCGGCGCCCAGAGCCGGAGCGCCGTGAAGGTGCCGGGGGCCCCGAGCGACGCGCCAGTCAGCGCGGCCGTCCCGCAGGCGAGTGCGACAGTGCCCGTGGTCGCGCCCACTGAGGCACCAGGGCAGGGCGGGCAGGCTGGGCAGCTGCAGCCCGGGCACGCTGGGCACGGCGGGAGCTCCACCGCCGGGCAGCGCGCGGCCCAGGCCTGGAACGCGGGGACGCCCCAGCGGTCGATGAGCCCCGCCCAGCCCGCGGGAAGCCCCAGGAAGGCCCCGGCCATGCGCCGCGGCCAAGCCGCGGCCCACCAGCTCGAGAGCCGAACGCTATTGACAAGAGACAACGCATTCTGAATTCGGCCTCCCCCTTCCCCTCTAAAGGCATTCATCTTCAATAGAAAAGTCCATCACCATCATCATCATCATCATCATCATCATCATCATCATCATCATCATCATCATCATCATCATCATCATCATCATCATCATCATCATCATCATCATCAGCATCCTCATCATCAGCATCGTCATCATCATCATCATCATCGTCATCATCATCATCATCATCATCATCATCATCATCATCATCACCATCCGCAGCATCATCATCATCATCAGCATCAGCATCAGCATCATCATCATCATCATCATCATCATCATCATCATCATCATCATCATCATCACCAGAATCAACATCGTCGTCATCGTCATCGCTATCATCGGCATCATCATCATCATCATCATCATCATCATCATCATCATCAACATCCTCATCATCATCAGCATCATTATCATCCCCTAGATCATCACCTCATCCATCTGAGGATTGGGCCACCACGTGGACAAAGGTGTGGCTCAAGCGCTCAGAAAACAAGTCCTTCCTCACGTTTTGTGCGCGTTGATCGGGTTGAGAATGGATCAAGGCTTGCATGCATGCGGGGTTAAGGTCATGTCTGCTTTCTCTTCGCCGTCGTCGCCGTCAACTGCCATGCTTTCTCCCCCCCCGAGGACAGCAGAGACGGCTGCTCTTGCGGCCGTGCTGGAACGTGCCCGCGGCTTCGAGCGCCTGGCACAGGCGTGCGAACCGACGAGGCCGCCACAGGCGGAGCGGCAACTTGTGCTTCGCGACCTCCGGGAGCAGCAGCTGAGCAAGGCGGACATTATCAGAGACCGTCTACGCACCGAGGCGCATCCATCAAAACGGCAGGGGGACAGTCCTGGCGAGGTATCTCGCCCAGCTGGATCCGCCAGTCTCCGCACCGACGCCCGCCAATGTCTCCCCTTGGACGGCGTGGAGCCGCCATGGGACGCGCCGCAGGGCTGCGATTGACAGGCGGCCTCCGCTGCCCGCGCCGCCGGCTCCTGCTGGCACGTGTGACCCACAATGAAGATGTTCACGAAGGACACAGACATGTCTGGTGGCGACCGCTTCTGGGCCACGCGCACGAGCCTTATCGCAGGCACCACCGTCGATGTCAACCGAGATAAAGAAGACCGTTTCGGCGTGTTGGAGAAGATGGTCCGCCGGATGGTTAGCACGAAAAAGTTTACGCTGATGATCGAGAGCGGACCCTTGCTCAAGGGAGTGCGCCTCGACTAGCTCATCCAGAAGATGTCCGACTTGACCAGGGCGCTGCTGTTTCAAGCAACCGTGGAGCCCGAAGACGAGCTCCCACCTGTCCGAGCAAGAGCACTTCAACGGAAGGAAGCACTTCGGCAAACCTCGGGCGGAATCGGCCAAACCGCGCCTTGAAAAAGAATGTCCGGAAGGCTATCTCAAAGTCGAGCTTCAAGACGTCTCTAGCAAACCCGACGCATAAGAGCAACACTGTCTGGGGAACCAACTGAAGAGCAGCAGGGGCACCACCGCTGGCACTCGGGAGCATGCCCCGTATGTGGTCATGCAACAAGATTAGCCGCCACTTGAATGAGCATCGTAGAAGAGATAGTTGTGCAAACCATCCTGCGATACTGGGTTCTCGTTTTGGAGAGACAGGGCCCCGCGTTCCTCACTCCTCGTTCCTCCTCCCCCTCCTCCCTCCTCCCAGCATCTTCTCTCTGCCCTCCGCATGTCAATAATGTCGGCACACCCCTCACACGCTTCTTGGCTCCATAAGGAGCTCCACCGAAGGCCCCAGTGGCAAAATCCAGATACGTCTCCCGCACCCAGCAGAGCGCTTCGTGGCCCCATAAGGAACTCCACCGAAGGCCCCAGTGGGAAGTCAACATGCGCCTCAACCTCCCAGCTACGCGTTTTGTGGCCCACAGGGAGATCCACCGAAGGCCCCAGTGGCAAAGTTCGCGTGCGTCTCCCCCACTCGGTACAGCGTTTCGTGGCCCACAGGGAGCTCCACCGACGGCCCCAGTGGCAGGCTTCGTATGCGTCTCCACCACCCAATAGTGCCTTGGCACATCGGGAGCTCCACAGAAGGCCCCAGTGGCAAAGTTTACATGCGTCTCCACCACACAGTACAGCGTTTCGTGGCACATAGGGAGCTTCACCGAAGGCCCCAATGGCAAAGTCAACATGCGTATCCCGCACCCAGTACAGCGCTTCGTGGCCCATAGAAAGCCCCACCAAAGGTCCCAGTGGCAAAGTCAACATGCGTCTCCCCCACCCAGTACGGCGTTTTGTGGTCCATAGGGAGCTCCCCCGAAAGCCCCAGTGGCAAAGTTCGCATGTGTCTCCACCACACAGTACAACATTTCGTAGCCCATCGGGAGCTTGACTGACGGCGATACCCACAACTGCAGTACTCACAACTGAAAATGGCTGGGTCCTTCGCCAGGCTAATTATACGTGGGTCCCAGAAACCGTCGCACATGTGATACTTGTAGATTCCATGTGCGTCCGCGAAGCACGTTCACGGTGAAATGTATTCTGCGTATGATGAAATGGTACGTCCACGCATGAACTCATCAAAACGTATGCATATGTACATACACTAACATGGTATACGACTGGTCTTCCAACTTGCCACATCCTGGACACAGCGAGTGTGATCGGACCTTACCACTTCCTCTTTCCTGACCATCCTGTTCGCCGCGCTCCTCGTCACCTGATGCTGTTCCTCTCTTTGCCAGCCTTCTCGTCAACCGTGGCGGTGAAGCTCAAGCGCCCCAAAAACATGTCCTTCCTGACATAGTCCCCCGTGCAGGCACCTCCTCCTCCTCCTCCTCTTTCTGCTGCCTCATCACATATTTCTCATCCAGAGGGCCGGAGGTGGAAGACGACGGAGACTAGGACGATGACGAAGAAGCATAAGACGAAGAAGACGATGACGACGACGACGACGACGACGCCGACGCCGACGCCGACGCCGACGCCGACGACGCCGCCGACGCCGACGACGCCGCCGCCTCCGACGACGACGACGACGATGACGATGACGACGATGACGATGATTACGATGACGACCTGCTGTAGAGGCCTGCCCGCCAGAAACGCACCAGCCCGCCCCGCCAGCACGAGGAGGGGGGGGTCGCCTTCTGGCCCGTCTGTTCCCTCACTGCCGCGGCGATTGCATCCTCCGGCGCCAGCGGGCCAAGAGGAGGGGGCCCCAGGACGCGAGGAGTGGTTCCAGGGAGTTCGATCAGGGAGAAGGGAGGGGAAGTGGCCTGTGCCACCGCCTCGGCACCGCTGCTCTGGATGTATGGCAGACACTTCTGGCACAAAACGACGACATGACGGACGCACACCCCGCGATCCAAAGGAACTCTATGGACACAAAAACTCGGCTCGCGCGCAAAATCTGGTGCTTTTAAAACTATACCAACCGGAATACTCGCGCAAGGAAACATACCGATGGCAAATCCTATGGAAGCGCATGTCATACTAACCTTGCCAGGTGGGAACAGCCAACTTGCAACCGCGCTTCATCCCAAGCTCGAATGCCAGATAGCAGGCGGGCCGACAACGTAACGCAGACCGACAAGTATATTACCCCTCTGTCCTTTCGTCTCGGGGTGGTCAACCCCAAGGGTGCACCCGAATGTGGGCGCCCAATACTTGAAACCACGTCGATGATGACACACCGTGACGGCGGGGAGCCTCCAAAACAGACTCGCAGAGGACTTTTAAAGTTCAGACACGAGTCGGTCTAAATAAGTGTCGCGACTGACTACCATGTTCAAGGCACTATTGGGAGGGGCTATGTTTCGCAGCTGCGGGTTCTAGTTATGCGGACCCCCCTTGTGCGGACGATATTTTGGGACAGGTGACTCACTTCCCTCGCTGGTTACGAAGGTTACGGGACTCTTATATGTTTTAACTGGGGAGCTGAGCAGAAGAGCTGAGAGCTGAGAGTCCCATTGCTGGACTACGGGAGCTGAGAGCTGCTCTATTCTTATCGCTCCCCATCCCTCTCGCCCCCGCATCATCGACTCCTTCCTCCAGCCACCCCATCGCAGTTTTGCTCGATGGCCAACGGAGGCTGATACCTGAATCAACCTGGCTCGATTCCTTCCAGGGTGGACTTCTTGATAAGAGCAATGATTAACAAAATAACGAAGCAGCCTGGGCGGAGGTGGTAGAAAGAGTTCTGTCTCCCGACTTACAAACCATCACCCGTCCTATATTCGGGGAGGGTTCTATCACTGCCCCTCGTGTACACCCCTCCCCCCACCCGACCGGCGACAGACCCAGGCCAACGATACCCCCCCCGCCATCCCTGTCAAAAAATATGCAAAAGCCACGCTGCGGCAAAACATGGGCCGTGCGCGGGCGCCCCGTGAGCACTCTCCTGCGGCTGTGACAGGGACGGCGGGGGGGCCTCATTTTGTCCGCGCTGTGCAGGCCCACCACCCCTGTCAAAACAAAATGCGCAATAGACTGGACGGCAAGGAGTAGCTGGGCGACAACATGCACAATATGCTGGGCGCCCCGCGATCACTCTGCATCGGATTTTGACAGGGGCGGCGGGGGTGCCCTCGTATTGTCCGATTCGCGCAAGCTACAACTCTTGTCATAACACCATGCAAAATACAACTTGCGGCAACATATAAACCAAATATACATACAGGATGTTTGGTAAAACTGATGGATCTCCCCGTTTCCAGGACTGGCGCGGGCTGTCTCCTGCGGTCCCCTCGCTCCTGCCCTTGCCCTCTTGCGTGCCCTCTCTCGCTCCTTCTCTCTCACCGCCGCTCGGCGGCTCAAGCCTTTCCGAAGGCCAAGCTGGGGGTCGGCCTCAGTTGGCCTAAGGCCGGGCCCCGGGACCGGGGCCGGAAGACCTTCGGGACCTGGGACCGGGCCCGAAAGGGGGCGCCCGCGGCCGCATGGAGC